CCTTTGAAACTTATTGATGGTTATCTCAATGAACCACTTGCGTCTCTTGAAGAAGCACTTCAACCTTTTAATGGTCAAATTGATCAATTATCTTATTATATCAAAGAAGCGAAAACTAAATGTCACTTTCCATCAGAACATAATCTTACACGTGATGAATCAGCTGCTATCTATATTTATACAATGAAATGGTCTAATAAATGTCTCTATGATCATTTACAAGAAGCATGGAATTCTCAAGATCGATCTAGAATGAAACCATGGTATAAATATCTTAGATTATTCAAAAGTGCATTTGATAAATTACCTAATGCAAAAAAAGAAATTTGGCAAGGAACACCTTTTGATGAAAGTATCATAGAGAAACTAAGCTCAAAATCACCAACACTCTACACTTCTATGGGCTTATGTTTACAATCATCTAATGAAATTCAAGACTATCTTGAGAAAAATGGTATTACAAAGATAATTCTTATTGGGTATGAATCTGTCAATGGAAAGTTAATAGGTGCTTATTCAGCAAATCCTTGGAATGAAGTCTTGCTATTTCCTGGTATGAAACTGGGTGTAGCAAGCTATAACGTGATTGATGCTAATGATTCATTAACTCTACATCTAAAAGGATTGAATGGTAAGTATAAATGTAGTCTAGGCATATCCTTTTCTGTCTGTTTGTGTTGCATTATCTAATACATACGAAAAGCTCTTGTGGATATGTTGAAACCTTACTCATTCTATATTTATATTTAGATACTCCTGCACCAGTCAGAAGCAAAACACCAAGACCTGACAAACACTTCGAATGTGCAAATAATGCTCATAACCATTCATTTTTCATGCAATAGTTGATCACAGTATAAAGTGACATTCTGCAATTTGCATCGAACTTCATTACTAAACAAATAGTTTGTAATAATCTATTTTGTTCTTATATGAGATCATCATGTTTTCTTTATTTACTCTTAGATGTATTTTGTGAGATGAATAAAATATCTGAAAGCATCTATCATTGTCGTGCTACCCATAATTCACCTCATTGTAGTGGATGTATTTTTCTTTTCAAACCATCATTTATTCTGCGATCATTTATCATACGATGAATTTCAGATCTGCATGTTGAAAAGTATTAAATAAATGAACAGAATCTTTTTCATATTTGCGAACATCATTGTAGCCCTACACATGTTGATTATTCATAATACATGTAGTAGCCGATGATGATGAAATTGCTAACAAGCCTTTGTTTTGAGATGCAAGAAAATAAGTGAATCAATCATCAGTGCTTTAAATGTAAAAAATATTAAATATATTCATTGATAATGTGATTTTTGTTTATAAGATCAACATTGAATTATTGTATTAGAATGAAAATAAATAAATAAACCTAACTATTTTACCAGTGTGCGTGAATGTAATGAGTGTCAAAGTCGTAAAAAGTATTCAATTTTCATGTCATCATCAATTGATCAGTTTATGTCCGACCTATTTTGAAAAAAAAAAACAAAATAATTGAAAAGAATTTTTATTGTGATAAATGCTGTCTTCATAATCATTCATTTATTATTATTCTCGTGATCACAATATAAACAATAGAACATCTTTTTTTGCAAACTAGTAGAATATGTGAACAAAATATTAAATAAACAATGCTAGAATCACTTATCATTACGGATGATTGATACTTAGATGCGAAGAAAAGACCTCGTAAAAGTTCTTAGCTAGTGAATGGTTATCAAAAATTCACTAAAACAAATACTGAGTGTTTTTATTCTTCAGTGTGTTGAAAAACATCGAAAAGATATTTGAGTGAATGCATACTTCGGCGACAAAATTTTCAATCAAAAAAAAGGCAATAGAGGAAAAGATATTGATAAAACTTAAACAAAAATCTCATGTTTAGTCTCACTTAAATGAGCTCTTTACTTCATCTACAACTGTAAAAACTCATCTTTTATTTTCTACTATTTCAAAAAAAAACACTCAATTTCAATTTGTACCTTGGTTTCTAATAAGGCTTGTTAAAAAACAATTTCATATTGCTTTGGTTCCTACAAGAGTATTGTATTTTTTTGAGCTTTTCAAGCAACCTTTTATGGTCACACTTTTTTTCTCTTTCTTTTACTATTTATAGAGCTCTGCCTTCGTCGTATTTTTTTTCTCATCACTTTTTCTGTTGTATTATTATTCTCTGCGTCAAATTGCGTTTGGTAAAAAGTAAACATCAGAGTATTTTATTTTACACAGTGACATTGCTTAATTTCTGAAAACGAAGCAAGGACGAAGAAACTTGCTTATATATATTAACGTATGTAAATAAACAAATGCAACCATTGCCATTTACTCTTGTTTTACAATACTCCAAAGAACATATTTTCTTCACGAAGAAAACAAAAAAACATGTAAAATTAAAGATTTCACAAGATTGATAGATGATTCATGCATGTATAAAATAGGATATTTGCAAGACAACAAGATAAGACTTAGAACCAATTCGATTGAAGTTTCTAATCAGCAACCGCTAGACTTGTATAAATATTGCGATAGCTAAGTTTTTAGTAATCTTATTACGAACATTAATAATAGCTTGAGAATGCAACTTTGTTTTTTATTGTCTTGGTTAACTGCTCTCAGTTATCAATTTAGAAGGCTATATTACTAGTATATAAGAAAGCGATCTTTACAATAAAAAAGTTTCCGGAAATTTAGCAAGATATGATTTTTTGAGTTAGTATTCGTCATAAGCATGCGCTAAGAAAAGAGTCATCCCCATAAATGTAAAGCCAATAACCATATTAATAAAGGGAGTCGAAACCTCAAGAATAGTACACGAAGTAAGAATGTTGAAGAAGCTCTACCACATTCGATCGAAATATTGGCATCGTAATCAGATGAAAATCAATTTTTCAGTTTATCTCCGTTTTCTTACATCAATAATATATATATGTGAAGTTTTCTACAGATGTAATTAGCAGAGTGATGCGAATTCGGAAACGGCTGAGATTAAATACTTAAAATTTTCGAGATAAATAAAACATGTTTTTGTCACTAAGCCTTGGAGATACAAAATTGATCACTTACCTTATTGAATCTTTTAGAGACTAGCAAATGCGAAATCTCGAAAGTCTTCTTCTCATTGTTTTTTGTGTAAATATAAAGCTGTATAGAAGAAGATACGCTAAATTTTTACTCACAAAGAAAAAATTTTTTCAGTTGACATCAGGAAGCTCAACTGGTCACATCTCAGTGATTTACCAGACACTCTGTCACATATTTGTAAATTATTGTATAGATCAATAAGATTTATTCAACTATACTATCAGAAATCGTCGTACTTTTGATGTTCGTCTAGATCTTAAAGTCACACATCGTAATAGACCATGAGCATATAAATAACTTTAGTTTTAGACTAGACTTGAAAATATTCTCTATGAGGATCAACAATGAAAATGAACATGATATGAGTCACCATTTTTGCTTATCTATTAACAATAACAATTAATAAAGATTATATATAAAAAAATAAATAAATTCACATATGGATCCTATAACGTTCATTTTAGTTTATACTTGTATGTTTGAGTAGTGTTGTTTTGTTCCATTCTTTTTTTTTTTTTACTTTTTCATTTGTTTTTTGCTGGTTCATTGTTGTAAAAAGAAAAAAGAGAGAATAAAAATTGAAGGTAGAAAAAAAAGACACCTAATAGTTTGTACACGTGCTCACTTTGATTATTCTGATTGTTTACATTAAATGGCTAAACGATGCTTGATAGAAACATGTAAACGTGAAGCCGAAACATATTGCTATCATTGTTCAAACGATGTATGTACTAAACATTATTTAGAACATAAAAAATGGATTCAAGAACAGTTACATCCACTTGTTGATGAGATTAACTTCGTATATGATCGTCTTCATCATGGTGATAAAAATCAAACAAAATCTATACCACAATATTTAATCAATGTATACAGTCAACTTGATAAATGGAAAACTGATTGTCATCATCATATTGACATTGTTTATCATCGAGTACAAAGTCAAATTGAGAACATTGTAAAAATTCATCAACATGAAGAAACTCAAAAGACGAATCACAATTTAGAATTATTAGAAAAATTGCGTCAACAACTAAAAGAATTATTAAAAGAAGGAGATATGACATACAGACAACTTGAAACAATGAAACGACAATTAGAAGAACTAAAAAAGAAAGAACAAGACCCAATCAAATATCCAGATATTCGCATCATAACTCAAAAACTCGATGTGGAAAAATATGTCAGTGTCACTAGTGATGTCAAGCATTCAATCGAAAAACAACAACAACAGCCAAGAAGTCCACAAAAACCATCACCTAATAAGTAAAAAAAAAAAGACACCAGAAACTTAGATGTTTGAAACAAAATATATGATGTGTGTTCTTTTTTTAATATAGAAATTTTATTGTACATCATCGATTTATTAGATGGCCTTCTTCTGGGCAAACAATTGAAAAATGTCCTATGTGTTCTGAAATATTTCCTTTATCGATGACAATGGCTGATCGAACTGTACATATAAATGATCATTTGCCAGATTGAACTCATTTAAACCAATATACTAGGTTCAAATAAAATTAGTAAAACTATGTTTCTAGTGTTCCTAAGTATTGAATTGATCCGAGATTCTACTTTCGATTCCTATAAATGGTGCATCGAGAATCTGAAATTATTTCAGCAAATTTCACACAAGCCAAAGAGCACCGGCGTGTGTCTTCTGATAAAATAAAGTCATAATGAGAAAATATAGTAACATTTAAAAGTACGATCTTCTATGATCGTACAAGTTTGTGTTGTGAGATATTATGCGTACGGTGTTTTGTATGATTATACATGACTTTGAGGTAAGATTTGATGCGAACATCGAAGGATCTGTCGTCGACCTTACGATTCGATTATTTGATCTGCGAAACTTTATCTATGAATGAAAAAGAAACTCCTAGAGAATTTTCTACATAAATATAGATTTTTCTATCTGAAAACGGGTCTGATTTGTTTTATTCAAAAGACAGAGAACAATTGTGAAACTAATTTTTTTACTCATTATGAAGTTGATCTAAATAGTTCTATCCAGAAGGTTTCTCGAGGGGAAAGTTCTGCTCCGGAAAGCAGATTCGTCTTATTGACGCGACAAGTGTCTTATTGTACTGTTATTTTGTTTTTCTCATTATACAAAGAGACGAATACAAGAAAAGTTATCACATTCAAGACGACGATTCATTGTATAATTTTATCTAAAAAACTAGAATTTCGAATTCATGAAGATCGCTAAAACATTTAAAGAAACTCTTCATTAATTCGGATAGATCGACTCTTTTCCGGTACTAATTACTTGGTATCCTAAAGACAACTAACTACGAATCGAACGGTGCCACTGTTATATCAATAAGCAGTATTTTAGCAAATAATCTTTAATTAAATTTCTTAATGATCATTTATTTCTTTTCTTTCGAATAGATTCAAGATTTTGTTTATATAGTTCGAGATTCGGATGACAAGGAGGTAATACTTGTTGTCCAATTTCAACTGCACGTTTATACGAAGCAACTGCCTCCGAATATTTTTTCATGTTACCATATACTAAACCAATATTATTATATGAAGTAGCCAATAATGGGTGAATTGGTGGAAGTTTTTTATTAAAGATTTCAAGTGCTCTTTTGCAAAATGAAAATGCTTTCGTATAATCGCCCATACTATTATATACCAAACCAATACTATTGCAACAAGTAGCCACATTT